ATTCGTCAGTTTGCTCTAAAAATATTCTAATCAACAGGTTAAAATGTGTTGGAAATTAAATTTAATTAGCGAAAAGTTTTTAATTGATCAAATAAGCTTGTCATTAGAGTAATTTTATTATATAAAAAAAAAATTTTAAATAGTTATCAAAATACTAAAGCAAATAAAGCATTGTTCAAGTGTTTTTATAAGACTTTCATTATCGGCACATTTTGTAAATTCGATAAACTATTTAGAATCCTCTTTATCTTAGGGTGTTCTCAAGCACTTTACTCGATGGATCGGAAGTAAATTTTTAATTAGTCGGGAATTGAATAAATTAACCAAACCATTTCGATGAACAAATCAGTGACACAACCCACTTTTTTTTCCAAAAATTTACTATTGATAAAGTTGTTTAAGCATTACTTCTATATTTTTTATATATCAAACATAGTAAACAATTAATTCTTAATATATTTCTAACTGGTTTAAAAAGATAACCACTTTATTTTTAATGTTTAAAGCTTTTAAAACAAATAATTAATACATTAATATGAACTAATAAATACAACAACCTTTTAACCATAATGAATACTATTATTCCATTTTTTACTCATTTAAATTTAAAATCTCTCAGTAAAGAAGACCTAAAACTAAAAGCTTTGAGTAAATGTTTTTTCATATTTGATGGATAGTAAAGAAATTTAAATTATTAAAATCATTAAAATAAGGAGCTGATATAAATAAAGTTGAAACTTTAACGATTAATCGAAAGGAAGTTTTTTTTTATTAGGTTTTTAGGTAGTATAGCAAATATTATGAAAAATAGAAAAAATATGCTTAAGCATTTAATTCTATAAATACATATTGATATCAATTGTAATACTTGAGCATCATCACGATTATAATTGATTTAGATGTTTGAGAACAGCCTTAATCTATCATTGCATTTGAGCATCACTACAATTATTAGAGAATTATGGTAATAGTAATGCTTAAGCATATCTCAATAATATCATCAATTGTAATACTAGAGCATCATCACGATTATAATTGATTTAGATGCTTGAAAACAGCCTTAATTTATTATTGCATTTAAGCATCACTACAATTATTAGAGAATCACGGTAATAGTAATGCTTAAGCATATCTCAATAATATCACCATTCATAATATTGTAAAATGTTATAAAATAGTTAAATTAAGTCAATACTTGTGCACTATTTCAATTACTATGAAATCGTATCAGGACCCCAGACATCTTTCATATAAATCATATTTTTTTTTGCTGAATTAGTTCAAATCTGAACCAAGGTCCAAATTTTTTTTTTGGCGAATTAGTATTAATTTAAATAATGGTCATATTTTGAGTTTTGGTGAAATGTTTAAAATTTCACATTGTTATATTTAAATTTTTGGTGATTTATTCCTTTTTTGGGAGATTACTTAATAAAAAAATAAATTGATCTCAATCAAGTGAAAAATGCACCAAATGTACTTAACGGTAACTATTCTATGCATATGAATGACAAATTTGTTTATATAAAGCAATAATCATATGTATGACATGCAAGTAATTTAACATTTTAATTGGCTAACTCTAGAAATAGTTTGGCACATAAAAAAAGCTTGAAATAATTTGACACGAAAAAAAAGCTTGAAATAGTTTGGCACGTAAAAAAAAAGTTTAAATAATCTAGCATATAAAAAGATCTATCTAAAAGTCTTTATAATGATAAAAATTATATATATAATAACCAGGCTGAGCCACAGGGAAGTGTGTTCAAAAAGCACTTGTTTTTTGTTTGAGAATAAATGAGGTGAAAACATACTCAAGTCCACTTATCTAGCAATAAATTTTTCGGGCTATTGTTGATGAATGCACAGTATTTTGTGTATGTGGACAAAAGTTATTCTAGATAGCGACTATGATGAGAAAAGGCTTATCGAACATTCTGAAAATTCAAGATGTAAATTGAATAATGAAAAAAAGCAGCTTGGATTACCTGGTCTATTCTCGGTCTTACCTAACCCTAAAAAAAAGAAAAAAAAATTTTCGGTTATCATCATCCTCACCATCTCTTCCATCATTTTTGGACAAACCTTGCCCTGAGTTATATTATAAACAAATTGGTTCTTACATTAATAAAACACTATCCACATACGGAGATGCATGACAACATGAAGTAATTAGAAAAGAGATGTTCCCAAATAAATTTTCAAATAATATGAAATTCGATTCTAAAAAACTTAATGAAGAAGAAATAATAAGATTTAATCAACAAGTAATGGTCGAATCTGAATGGTTTATTAATCGCTTTGGTAAGTTAATTATAGCACTTTGTTATATTAGAACTACTTAGAATTTAACTATTTGGCTTTATAATTGTAATCTTAGAGATGTGTATCTGATTTGTTAATTGCGAAAAAAAATCCTATGGGCAAGCATGTTCTCCATGTTATCTTCTTTATAATAATCCATATTTTTTGAATTGTATTAGAGCAGTTACTCCTAACCCAAAAAATATTAAATATACTCCTAAATTTTATTATAATAATAATCTATTACTATCTTACCTAAAAAATAATCACATTAAACAATTACATAATATTCTTTATAATGAGAATTCATCATCAAAAGAGTTTTGGGCAGAATTTTTTAAGAAAGCTGCTGAAGGCATATTTGAGCAAAAGCCAGTTTTTAAGGGACTGTGCTATATAATGTTACAAGCTACGGAACGTGAAAACCAAGATAAAGGTTTACAGAACCTCAAATATTCAAATAAACTTTTAAATTTTTTTGTAATTTTGGGAAGTATCAGTATTTAATTTAAAAATTAAATATATGACATCATAGAAAATTATTGACCAGTATAATTATATTTAAAAATAATTTTATTATTTATAGATGCCATAGAAGAATTTTGGATAATGTGATTAATAATCCTGATCTTTGCTATAAAAATATTGCTCATTTTAAGAGGCCTTTAGATATATTACACTATAAGAGTCCTGTTGTGGCTATGACTAATTATACAAAAATAAAAGCCAGGTTACAGTATTCTTCAAGTTTGGGTTGTATTGTTAGATCAACTTTAAATCAAAATTATTGTAAGGTTGAAACTTATGATGATATATATAATAAGGTTTCTGATATAAAGCAAGAAAACGCAGTTGCAAAATATATTAGAGCTTATATTCTTCAGGTAATAGTCAATAATTAATTTAAATTTTATTATAATATTTTATTTAAATTGATTTTTTAAATTACTAAGTGCCTCTTCCAAAATTTCTACCAATAATTAGCATTAATTCCAACTGGAAGTGATGATAGTAAAAAAATTTTTGCACTTCATCAAAAGCTTATAGACATTGCAGCAAATTTGGAATTATACATAATATCTATTGGGTCAGATGGTGCTCTGCTGAATTCTAAGCACGGAATTTATTACAAGTATCTAGAACAAAATATTGGGTTCAATGCCGAAATTCTCAATTTGGTATTAAGTTTAACTGTCCAATATTTCCCAAAGTTTGGCCTGTAATTCGTGTTCAAGATCCGAAACATGAAAAAAAAACAGCCAGAAATGCTGCTATGTCAGGTGCTCGTTTACTTACATTTGGAAATTCTACAATCCGTTTTGATCATCTGTTAGAATTATCTCTTAAAGAAGACAGCATTATGTATAAGCAAAATGTAATTAGATTGGATCGTCAAGATGATAATGCTATATATAGGGTATTTTGTTCAAGCAATTTGGCTCAAGTGTTAGATGAAGAAAAGGCTTTATTATCTGAACTACGAGGTTTGTTCATATATCTTTTCACTATGGGTATATATTAATTTTAAAATTTTAATAATTTAAGTATATATTATAGTATTAAATTAACTAGTTTCGATTTATTTCAGGTAAACTTATTGATAGTTATCTTAATCGCAGTATTACACATCATAAAAGAATTGAAATGGCTATGACAGCATACTTTTTTTTATACCTATAGAGATATCATATTGAAACCCTTAATGATTCTTATTCTTTATTTGTATCAGTTTCAAAAAACTTCTTAGCAATACAAACTTTTAATATTATGATTAGTTTAGTCGAAGCTTTAATTCTTTTAATTAAGATTCATAGAGATTATTATGAGGATATACCTTTACTACCATGGAAGCATGGCACTGAATCTTGTAAACATATTTTTGGAGTTGCCCGTCAGTTTTGATCTGATTTTACCTTTTTAGAAATTTTACAAATAGTTCCGAAGATAAGTCAGTATTTTAAATCTATTCAATCAGATCATTTATTATTTAAAAAAAAAAAAACAGTGCATACTTATACAGGTCTTTGCCATAGCCTTATAGTGCATATACCATTATTACTAATTTGATTTGAAACTTATTCAACTTGTTCTAGATTACAGTTTTAATAAATATGAAGAAATTAACCTTTTGGATGATGATCTTGAGCGTTTACGCTATTGGCCCTCTAATATTGACATTGATGATGCAATTAATATTGGTTATGAAAGAGCCATTCATTTAGCAAGACATTTAGAAATAAATTCTATACCCAGCAATGCCTATTATTTTAATATCCACAAGAAAATTTCTACTTCACAACTTGAAGATTTAAATCTTGAAACAGCTAATAATAATGAATATAATATGAATAATGGTTTATCTGTTTCTTATTGTATAAGCGATGCAATATCTAAAATGAATAGAACCCAAGAAATTAATTTAAATCCAGAGTCTGAACTTTCATTAAAAAAGCTTTATGGGGCTTGTAAAGTACTTGTAAAACGGATTCAAAAATTAACTGATATTCCATGGTTTCCAAGTAGTAAATAATTAATTTCTTTAATATTAAGTTTTATTTTTTATAAAATAATTTAAAATTTTATCTTTATAGGTTCTAGATCTGAGTTTATTTTGAATGATGAGTCGTTAAATATTGAATTCTTGTTAAACTTATGCCAACATCATGATGCTCATTTAGAAAAAAATCTTGAATGAATTAAATTTTCTTCTAAAAACAATAACGAAAGAAGCTTTCTAAATGGGTTTAATATTAATAAGGCTAGCAGTTTAGTGTCACATCTGACAAAAAATGATTTTATTTTAACTAAATTACAAGAAAACAGATGGAAATCAAGTGGAAATAATAATAATAATGTAGTTGAAAAAAATCATTTGGGTAATTTATTTTTATTTAATATATTTAAAAATCAGTTTTATTTATTTTTTAATTATATAATTTTTATTTTTTTAGAGAATCATTTATGCAATAACGTAGCTCTTTTTCCATTATAAATTGGGTCTTTTGTAATGGTTAAATTTGAAAGTATGTTTTGTGTTGCTCAAATTATTGCTATGTATGAACGAGATAGTTCATTTCATTTATAAATTGACACTCCTGTCTCAGATCTTGAATCTCTTTCTTATGTATTTTTGAAAATTTTTTTTCATATTGATGGTGCAATTTTTTCAGCAATTCGTGATCTATTTTATATTTTTCTCATATTAAAGCTTCGCATATTGTTTATTATTTGGCTTCAAGTGATATTAGTATTAATGAGGAAGTATTAGTTCTTAAAGGACAGGCAAAAGGACTGTTTAATGTATTCAAGAAATAACAGTACTATCCTTTAATAATTGGTTTTTTTTTGAATTTAGAATCTATTATATTCAGATTACTAAATATAAATGATTTTTTAATTGTGCAATAATGATGCAATTCAAAAATTTTATGAAATGCTTGCGTAATATGATTATAAAAATTTACTTATCAAGATGCTATATGTTAACATGGATGCTAGAATAGTGAATTCTCTTAAATATATTTATTTATTTATTTATTCTTTTATTTATTTATTTGTTTCCAGGTTTGGATTGAAAGTATATGATTTGTAAAAGTATCGTAGTGGCTATTTATGATGGGTGAGTATAAGTTCTGATTAATAAAATAATTCTTAAGATTATGTAAATTATTTAACTAAATTTTACTTAGCTATTTTTAGACAATCGAACAGGAATTCATGCATGCTATGTTGTTTAAAAGATTATTTGTTAAGAAAAAGAAGACATTTTATTAGTAGGTCTACTATTCTATAATTTTATAGCAAATCAATATTATTATGACCGACCAATCAATTCTATAAGTTTGAGTGTTAGACAAATCCAACTGTTATTAGATTTACCTAGTCGTTTAATTATTGTTAACCTAAGTCCTTTAGACAAGTTAATTTAAGAGTAAAATGGTTTGAGGTTTTTTTATCTTAAAACTTATGTACTATATATTATCATTAAACGCAGGAATAAGCTAACTTTATTATATCTACAGGAAACTAAGTTCTCTGATAAAGTTCTTTCAATAGATTCAATTGTTAAAGCGGAGGCTGCTGCTGCAAACTCCAATATTGTTTATGATTCTATGGCAACTGAGATCTTACCAGTCAAAGATAGGCCTAAACAGGTTAGGAATTATTTTATTGTTAAAATTTTTGGTTAATCAACTATTTAGATTATTATATTTATATAATAGTGGGAAGAAGCGTTGAAACTTACAATGCAAGGAAAACTCTATAGTATTCATGTTCCACTAAGACATATTATGGAATAAAGAATTGTGTCCAAGGTAAGTAACCTTTATAAGTATTACTATAAGTCTTATGTTGATATATACATTTATTTAGGTGCAACGTTTACCGTCTTTACCATTATCTAATTTTGGGTTAGAAATCTTGATAGGTAAAGATGAAATGATTGATTTTGAAGATTTCTTAGGCAGTACATTTAACTATTAAGCCATACAAAATTAATTGTTAGTTTCATAACTAGGCCAGTCCAAAATTTGAAATATAAGAAAATTTTTTGTTAAAATTAAAAAAAAAACTGGTCAGCTTAGGTTTGTTTCAAAATTTTTATAACATGAAACCTACGAAATTAACTTCATATAATATATATATTTTTGAATTTTTTATATATAATTATTAAACAATTGTTATTATACTTAATTTAAAAGGCATTTAGAAGACCTAATAGATCATAAGCCAATAGTTATATATACGATATTGGCAAAAAAAATTTTTTTTGAATTTTTTTATTTAGTATTAGTTATTGAGTGCAGATATTTTTGTGCCACTACTTACATGTCAAAAAATCATACTTTACCAACTTAGCTTTGAATCCAGGGTATAATTATATTAATTAATGATCCACCAGTCACCTGAAGAATGATCATAGTAAAATGTGACTCAAATTACTATATAAATTTACTATAGTGCGAATATGGTGATCGCCCAAGGTAAACTTTTTTTATACTAAGTTAATCATCTTTCTTGCTTAAGAGACTTTTGTAAAGCTTTCAAAACGCATCTAATGGTAGTTAGAACGTCAAAATCAGCCTGGTGGGTGCTGAGATATCTTTAAAAAAACATCTTTTTTACTATGTAAATTTCTTTGCAAACAATAGTATTGTTTGCAAAAAAATTTACATAGTAAAATAAAGATTTTTTAAAGATATCTCGGCACCTACTAGGCCGATTTTGACGTTCTAACTACCATTAGATGCGTTTTGACAAGCTTTACAAAAGTCTCTTAAGCAAGAAAGGTGATTAACTTAGTATAAAAAAAAGTTTACCTTGGGCGATCGCCATATTCACACTATAGTAAATTTATATAGTAATCTGAGTCACATTTTACTATGATCATTCTTCAGGTGACTGGTGGATCATCAATTAAGTTACTACTTTATATTTAGTTATTATCTTTGTTAAATCTAACGCAGTTATACCTCTCGAAATACACCTATAGAGACTAAAATTTAGCAATATGATATGTAGAAGTATAGAGATTATGCATTTAGAGTTTAACTGAATGTAGCGCATGATAAATAAATAATTAGATTTTTAAATATATAGTGATTATATAAACTGTAAATGTGCATATACAAGACCTGGGCTTATTTCATTTCATTAATTTATAATTCAAAATATTTTTAATAAATCTAGATGTAATAATTTAATTTCCAGCAAATTACTATAAAATTTACATGTCATATTAAGTTTTCAGCAAATTTACTTGATTTTAGAGGTAGTGAAAACCCCAAAATTTATGCAGATTAGTTGTAACATATATAAGAGATGTCCAGAGTTCTTTCTGATTGATTATCCAATCAAATTTAAAGCTCACTATGCTTTATCTATTAGCTAGAAATACCCAGATTAGTCTGACAGTTTACCCTTGAGTAGGTGACGAGTTGAAACACTATCAAATATAGGAGAACATTAAAGCCAAGTTTATTTAGGGTTAGTTTTTTTGTTATAGTTAGAGTTATTTGCTTATAAAGATATCAAGAACACAATTTATATAATTTGTAAATCATAGAGTGTAGTGATGTAGCAAAGTGGTGAAGTTGTCACACTCTCAAGTTTGTTGGCTATAAGTACTGAGTTTGAATCCCACTGGTGATGTTTTAGATAATTTATTTGTACCATGGTGACAGCTTATTCTAAATTGGGCTAGGGCTTTGTTATGCTATAGCTCGTGCTATAGTATTCTGTAAACTAGGGTATATCAATACCATTTGGCGCTGGGAGAAATACCGTATATTGCCGAAAATAAGCCACCTCCGAAAATAAGCTACCCCCTTTTAAGAAACATAAGAAAATTTGTAATTCCGAAAATAAGCTACTCCTGATAATTTCTTAAAATCTGGAAGTAGTTTCTATATATAAAAGTC